GCCTGTGCTGAGTCTCTTCCAGGAAGCTTTTCCATCTACCATGCTCTGGCCACCCTGGCTTTCATTCTCCTCCCACATTGCCTCTTTTTTTTTTTTGTATGGGAGATCAAACTCAGGACCTTGCGCTTGTGAGGCAGGGAGCAGAACCACTGAGCTAAATCCCCAGCAACATGATTATTTTTATTTTATTTTATTTATTTATTTATTTATTTTTGTATGGGAGATCAAACTCGAGACCTTGTGCCTGTGAGTCAGGCGGTGGAACCACTGAGCTAAATCCCCAGCCCTACATGATTTTTTTTAAAGCACCAATAAATCATACTCATGCCTGTCTTTATTGTATCAATGTGCCTTTAGTACATAATCAAGTAGTAGCCTTCTTCTGTATAGTTTTAAGATTGATGGAAGATTGCAAAAAATTAATTTGCTAAAACTTTGCTTAAGTTTTGTTTTGGTTTTGTGTTTTGTTTTGAGAAGGGGCTCTTGTGTTTAGCAAGCTGGTTGAATGAACTCTGGGGCTCAGATGTCCTCTCATCTTAGCCTTCCCAGTAGTTGGGACAATAGGCATGTGCGTCTGCCCTCTTAGGTTTTGATCCAAGTTTTAATCTAGGGCTCTTTCTTTAACATGAAATGTGCATTATGTCAGGGTGCCAAACTAAAAAGCCTAGACAAAGTAAGTGACATAAGTAATCCTGTTAGGACCAGAAGCTAAACTATTTGTGTTCGGACAATAGGTGTAATAGCAGCTACACATGAGGCTGAGGCAAATTCACAGCTAACTTGGACAACTTAGTGAGATAACTCCAAAAAGTAAACAGGGCGGTGGGTGTAGCTCAGTTTTAATGTCTCCTGGGGTTCAGTCTTCAGTAACAACCCCAAACCCCATACCTCCCCCTGCCCCAGCCCCACACAGAACTCACCTCTGGTCAGTTATTCCCATGTTTCAGGTACCCAACTTAAAGACATTCTAAAGAGGTCTGAAACCTGGACTTTAATGTGAAAAAATCTCCCCTTTTTGTTTGAAATGGAGTTTCACGAAGTTGTCCTTGCTAGTCTTGAACTTGTGATCTTCCTGCCTTAGCCTTTTAGATAGCTGGGATTACAGGCACAGACCACCATGTCTGGTGAAAATATCCACAATTTTAAATGTTGGCAGCAAACTTAAAACTTTTTAAACACTATTTGGATCATTCTGTTCAGTATATGACTGAGGGCCATCAGAATATAACTCACATTTCCCCTTGCCCTTCCATTTCCTTCCATGCAGTTTAAAATGTTTGAGATGAAGTGTTGATGCTAACCCAGTAGCTATTAGGATGGTTTAATGAATTTTGTTACGTTCGCATTATAGAACATTTTACATCCATGAATATTCAATAAGAACTCAGTTACATGCAAGAAACACAAATGGATAATAATGACACCAAAATGTCAACTTTATACCCAAGGTTCCATCAATAAGTAGGTTTTCTTTTTGTATTCAGAATAAATTTTTAAAAATATGTCACATAGAAAACATTTTGTGTTCTGTTCTACTTAAGGTAATAGATTCTGTTATGTTAATGTAGTGTATAGTCTCTTTGTTTTCAGCTTTGTTTCCAATGCAGTTATTTTTTTTTTCCTTTTTAGAGATGCTAACTTTGTTTTTCTCTGACTTTGTTTTTATTCTTCTGTCTGATGACTTCCAAAAGAACAACGAAACCAACTCCTCATTTAGATGGGTAAAGTTTATTTGAATATATTATAACCCACTTTAAATTAATATCAAAATAAGAAGCCTTTATTTAATCATCATTACTTTTACTCTTTAGGCATCATGTTGTTTTTGGACAAGTGATCTCTGGTCAAGAAGTTGTGAGAGAGATAGAAAACCAGAAAACAGACGCAGCTAGCAAACCATTTGCTGAGGTACGGATACTGAGCTGTGGAGAGCTGATCCCAAAATCTAAAGGTAAGAACAAGTACGTATTTCAGGAAATTCTTAATCATATAAAATAAGTATAAGCTGGGCATGCTGGTGCACGCCTGTAATCCCAGCACTCGGGAGGCTGAGGCAGGAGGATTGCCACGAGTTAGAGGCCAGCCTGGACTACATAGTGAGTTGAAGGCCATCCTCAACTTCATAGTGAGACCCTGTCTCAAAAAAATAAAATTAAATAAAATAAATAAAGATGCTCTATAAATGGTAGGCATGAAATTCATACTAAGGCTAATACAGATATGAGGTTTTTTGCCAGGCATGGTGATACACACCTGTAAACCTAGCACTTGAGAGGCAAAGGCATGAGGATTGCCACAAGTTTGAGGCCAGCCTGAACTATAGCAAGTCAGACCCTGGGTCCCTCCCCCACCACCAACAAAAAAAGATTTTTTTAGTATCTTAAGTATGTTTTGTGCTTTTACTTATTTTTCTTTCTTTCTTTTCTTTTTTTTTTTTTTTTTTTTGAGGCAAGGTCTCTCTTTGTAGTTCAAGCTGGCCTTAAATTCACTTAAGTAGCCCCAGGTGGTCTCTGCCTCCTGAGTGCTGGGATTACAGGCATGTGCCACCATGTCCTGCTTATTTTTCATTATTTTAATATCCATTAACAGAAATGAGATGCTGCCTCATTTTAACTTGCATTTTCTCAGGATTAGTGATGTTAACATTGTTTTCATATACTCTGTAGATATCTATTAAGTCCATTTGTTTGAAAATTTGATGCCATTCTGATCTTTTTTTTGTTTAGTAGATCTATTTTTTTTTTGGTACTTGGGATCGAACTCAGCACCATGCACTTGCTAGGCATAGATCTATTTCTGACAGTGAGGTATTATAATTGTGTTGTTGATCTGATTTTTTAATGTCTGATACTGTTTTATGAAGTTGGATACAGCGATGTTTGCTGCATATATTTATAATTATCTCTTCCTGTTGAATTGTTCCCTTGAGCAATAGGTAGTTACCTTTTCTTGCCTTTTCTGATCACGTCTGGCTTGAAACTCTCCACTTCTCTTGATCTTTAAGATTTGTGTGAAATCTACTGTAATTTGAATAGGTTCACTTTTTTTTTTTTTTTTTTGGGTACTGGGGATTGAACTCAGGTCCTTGCGCTTGCGCAGCAGGCAGCGAAACCACTGAGCTAAATCCCTGGCCCTGGGTTCACATTTTTAAGTGAGTCATTGTTGTCTCTTAACAGCTTTTAAGATTCTGTCCCTATGTTGGATGTGGAGAGTTTCAAGGCTCACCCTCCCTGGGAGGCACTGGAGAGAGGTTCTTTTAGTCCATATCGTCTTTGGTGCTGTGAGTGAGTTAATTCCCCAATAAAGAACAAGAGTTGTAGCCATTTGTCAGAGGAAGGGCAGCAACAGAGCGGGAGAGCCAGAGTGCAAGAGCTGCTTGTCTTTATTTATTATTTCAGCAAAAAACAGCTACAATGCTCCTCATTAGTTCACAGCAGTTTTATTAGTTGTTATCAGCTTACTGGGACATGGTGAGACAAAACACCTGGGTTACCTTGCAGGGCCATGTGGTGCATGTGTGGTTGAGTATGTTAAGTCATTTTTATATAACTGTGGCCCATTATGTGCATGTCCCTGATAGTAGAGTCATGTCTTTAAGTGTCCTATGTTTCCTGGGCTTTGAGTCTAAACAGAAGTGGTACCCCACAGAGAGGTTCTCTCTCTTTTTTTTTTTGGTGGTGCCGGGGATTGAACTTGGGACCTTGCGACTGCAAGGCAGGTGCAATGCCACTGCGCTAAATCCCCTGCCCAAGAGATTCTCCTTTTTCTCTTTTTTTTTTTTTTTTTTAAGTGTACCAAGAGTGTATTTCAGTTTACTGTATGCAACCCAACAAAAATTTGGTCATAATTTATCAGATATAAAAATATGATTTAAGTAATAAAAGAAAATTCAGTTTCAAGAAAATAAGTTCATATCTTGAAGAAAATTAAAAATACATTAAGAATATAAAGCCAAGTCCAGTTTCTATGCAATAAGTGAACTATGGTCTAATAAAGCAGATTTAGTTGATTTTTTAGTATATATCTTTGCTTTTTAATATATATTTATATATAGACAGATCTACTAATTGTAAACTATGGTTTAAAGGAAGGGGATAAAGCAGGATGAGAGAAATGTTTATACTAACATATTCACAAAGCAGAACATTTATGTTTAAAATACTTTTTCATTCATAGTATCTTTGCCTAACTAATTTCTATTTTGGACCTCACTAGAATTACATTTTACTCATTTGTCTAGAACACTGAGAATATGATGTAGTCTTCAGTTTTAAGCAAAAATCAAACCAAAATTATTCCTGTCAGGCTTACAGTTGAGAGGTTCTCTTTTGATCATGGTTATTTGGAGTTGGAGTTGTTCCACTTACATGAATATGTAATTCTTCCCCACTATTTGGAAAGTTTTTTGCTATTTCTGTAAATAGGTTTTTTTATGCCCTTTGTGCTTTGATTTTTTTACTTATTCCAGTTAATCTCAAATTAGTCTTTTTTGGATCATCTTGCAGCTGTTGAATTTATTTTTCTTGTTTTCTTGTTTGAGTAATTGATCTCCGAAAACATCCCTACCTGTTCTGCTTTGGTTTGGTTTTTGAGACAGGGCCTTGCCATGTAGTTCAGGCTGACGAACTGAGTAAGTAGCTCAGGCTGGCTTCGAACTTTGTGATCTTCCTGCCCCTGCCTCCTGAGTGCTGGGATTATAGACATGTGCCACCATGCCTGGCCTAATTCTGATATTCTGTCTTCACCTTGGTCACTTCTGCTGCCCATACTTTGAGTTTATGTATGTGTATGTATGTGTGTGTATGTATGT